AATCACTGAAAAAAATGCATGCTACATATGTAGTCATTTTTTACAGAGCACGGTTTTAGATGCAGCCGGAATGAAGTTTGTTCGAAAGCCGGCGTCCTGCGGCAACTGAATTATTATACTGTACGATGATTGGTTCCCCAACCATACTTAATTAATCCTTTTGAAACGGAAAAGAATGTTGGAATGTCTGTTGACATTTCATGAGTTAACCCACCTACTGTAGAGCCCCGCTGTCACAGCTCCATCTGTGACAATCTCGCGCAAGTCAGGATTGCTTTATGCGTAGTGCCTCTCAGTCGATAGCTGATTGGTTACCCGGTCTTTGCGGGGTGATGGCGCAGACAAATGGAGGGATGCCTATCATCATTCTGGACCTAAAGGTTTGTAGCAGTCTGCTCTGCCAGGATGAGCAAACCATGACCCTCAAGGCCTGATGTGCGATGGCGGTTCTGTGACACGTCTTCCCCTGGCGGTAGATGCACTCGCGCTTCAGCTGGGTCTACAAGTACTGAGCAAAGTCGACCAGATGCGGTGATGTTGTTGTTGTTGTTGGTCAAAACCCTGGTCATGTATTCATTGCGGGCCAGGGATATGGTGGTACGCCTAAGTTCGAGCGCGGGCGTGTCAGTCACCTGTCCCCTCTCTAACCGTCGGTGCTCTTGACTCTGTCTTGGCACCGGACCCGGCGGGCCAGGAGGAGAGATCGCGGTGGATGCAGTGCAAGTCTACTGTCATTGTAAAAGAAATCAAGCATGGGCCACTGGGACTACCCCATCCAACACTGGAGACATCGCCGGTCGGGGTGCAGGTGTGTCCAGCTGTGGTGTCATGTAAAGGTCGCAGTAGGTCACTCACTGTCTCGCAGGTGCTGACTACGCTTAGTGTCCATTGACAGGCTTCCAACTCTCACGTGTGGCTTCCTAAAGCCACAACCTTGCACCCGCCTTAGCCGTCTGGCTAAACCAGGTGAAGTTATCCGTGTGTTTATCTCCACACACGGTAATTCTACCTCCCCGCCAGCCAGGTCACGGGCGTGTGTTTCTGTGATGCGACAGATTCTCTGTGTTGTCTCTACGGGTAAGGAGTGGCACACCGAGGTGCATGTTCGGCCGCGGCAACTACCTGCCTCCTTCCTCACCTCCTCGCAATCGGTGGAAGATGGCTCTCCAACAGAAGCGAAAACGTGGGGAGGGGGGATTTGGAGAGTATACACGAGAAGCGCAATGGTCCAAATCACGTAATGCGGCCACTGAAAATAGACATTGTATGCGTCTGGACATTTAAATAATACCGAATTTAAAGGAAGACGGCTTGTGCATGATTTAGCCTGTGGTGATAGCAGCCTTGCATAGCATCTATCTCACACGCTACTCCTTCAATGCTAAAGTTCGCTACACAAGCAGTCAATCCGACGGTCATCGGGGATTCCTTCATATTACTTGCACACTTGAAAATGATTTTACTTTTAATGGAGAAAATCCCCTGCGGAGTATTGAATTCAGTCCTCATCCTGATGCCCATTTCGGACGTTTGGTGGAGCTAGCGAGCTGGCTTGATTTCTCATGTACATCTCAGCAGCTAAATTTGGACTCAACGACAGATCATCGAAGGCAACTTGAGTCGGCAGCCAGTGGGAATACTTGCCGGGAACTTCTGTTTGCACTTCGACTCGTTACATATACGGAACTTGTTCCAATTCTGATTGGCTAGTTTGTTACCGCCGGTAGGTATCCTTCAGCATGTTTTGTATCACACAGAACTCAATAAAGCCCCTGTATAAAACATCGCGTTGAACACGTGCGTTCCATTTGTTGAGCTAAGAAGAGGCTATACCGTGATGACTGGATGCGTGCGCTCTCATCGTACGTGGATTCTCATTTTAGCTTTATTAGGAATAACGAGGATACTCTGCGATGTTTTCTTCACAAGCGAATGGGTAGCAAACGCTGTTGAAACAGTGAAAATTCGAGTTTCATTAGTAATATGCAATCTTCGCTGGATTAGTATCAGTGAAATGACACAGGACGGCACCTACGACCTGAGTTTTCGTTATTGTGTAGATTCGCACCTCCCAGTAACCAAATACGACACACTCCCGCTCGATCTCATCAGCAAGACTGGTGGAGGTCGGAATATTACCTTTGCAGAGATGGCCCAAGTAAACGATACTGACTGGAAAAGGCCAATTAATCCGGACGTCTTCCTGTTATATCCGCAGGGTTTTGCTCTGCGTGAGATCATTCGGAATTACCGGGAGACTGGCTTGGTTCCAGAGGTTAGCGCAGGTTCACTGTCAAATTAATGTCTGTTTTATTGCCTCTATAGTACCTAGTGCTAATTGGGGCTGCATCGCATTTCGTTACCTGGCAAGCCGTTTGGGTCTTAAGTTCAAGCGCAATGTGGGCACTGAATGTAAGATAAGCCGAAGAGGGATACTGAAACCTTTAGAGGGAAAAGAAGCCGAGGCTGAAACAGAGTGGGCAACCTGATGTACGATAAATGTGTCGCGAGGTTGAAGTTAACCCAGAATTTCTGCAGAAGGCAGGAAACATGGGGCAACAATACCCATGGCCTCAAAAGCAAACATACTCCTCAATTTAATTATAAACTTAACGCTAAGCCTAATCCTAAACCTACCACAAACCCTAGACCTTATCCTATGCCTAACATTAACCCTGGACCAAATCCTAAACTTTACCTTTCCCCTAAACTTTAACATAACCTTAGACTTAAACTAACCCTAACACCAAACTTAGCGCCAAACTACACGGCAATCCAAACCCCAACTCTAGCTGAAACCCTTAAACGCAGCACAAAACTTAACCTTAAATTCAATTCTCAGTCTGACACAAACCCAAACCCTAAAATTAACCATAACTTTAAACCGAAACATCAAATTGCTTTTTTCCGTTTTAGCTTTGGCTACTTTTCCACCCACGACTTCAGCATCCCTCTACGCCTAACTTTACTTTCAATGAACACGTTGTGCACACACTTGGAACCAGAACAGCGTAACCGATCATTGTCTATCCCCTGACACGCAGAGTAATCAACATTGATGTCCTTCACTCTTCGGTTTGGGTCGATGACCTTGTTTGATCTCTAGCACAGTCAGACGCTTTGCCGTCGTGTTGATCCCCCAACTTCTCTCTAGACACCAGGCTTCATCATATTTGTCTGGTAGGGATCGCCTCTCTCTCTCGCTGAGCCTTCGATGCAGAGCGCATATCGATCGTCTGCACGTGAGCACTTCTCACGATTCCTTCCACTTTTGTCCAATCAGCGAGATGCGCTATGCACAGCACTCTGTCGCAGAAATAACCCGGATGTCACAGCCAGTCGGAAAAGATTGTGTTTTTGATTGCCAAGGCCTAAATTCTCCCATCTTATGCGCTATCGCAGTGCAGACAGTTATTGATGAATCTCGCTGTTTTGTATGCCGGAGCAAATCGCCTTTTGCTGTTGACAGCGCAAAACAGTAGAAGTATTCACTTCCACCAAATTCAGTGTGCACACCTTAGTCAGCAGCTGGCAAGCGCCTAGAGAAAATCTTATGGCAAATGCTAGGTCAGAAGATGGTCAGCCGCTAATTACTCAATTCAGAATTCAGGTAAATACTTAAGGATAAGGATCCTTGCAAAAGATATGCATACGTTTCAGGAAAGTTGGTTGATTGAGAATCAGAAATTTGGAAATGCAATTAACATGACGAAACCTTTTGATAACTGATAGAATTCTGTGCACTTAAGGATTTTTCTTGTGATTGTAACGACACCGGGGTAGATATCTTACAAAAAACATTTTCAGTTTTTTCAGTACGCTTCATTTTTGTTTAAAATAGCGTAACACCACAGAAGCAAACTTAGTCGATTCTCCAAGACCAAATGTTTCTTAATGCATCCAAAACCCTCGTGAACATTTGCAGCCCCCAGTCAACGGCCCCAGCATGCGATTTCTCAAAGTGAGCACTTCGGTTTGTCCACCAGAAGGAATTGACGGTGCTGACCCCAAACACAACCACGACCTCGTCGTCATTGTGAAATCAGCCGTCTACAACTTCGAGGACAGACAAGCCTTTCGCAGATTCTACACTCACCTGAGAAAGGAGAACAGCGTTAAACCACCCTATCGCATAGGAGTAGTGTTCGTGGTGGGCCTGCCCACAAGCGCAAGCATCAATTCATTCCAACGCGACGGTTTCAACATCTTACTGCCCGGTCGCGCCGGCAACTCGCTCGTCAACATTGCAAACCGCCGCTCCCAGATTCAAATGCGACTGGAGCAGGAGATGACTGAACACGATGATCTCATCGTGGGCGACTTCGAGGACACCTACTACAATCTGTCTCTGAAGATGCATCACACATTCGTGTGGGCGGCCAGGTTCTGTCGCGAACGTCCTGCCTTTATGTTCCTCGACGATGACATTGGTTTCAATGAGAAGCGCCTGCAGGCTGTACTGGCCACTCTACCGGTTGATTGGCGGCGCACGGTTTCTATTTCGAGTACTCGCTGGAATAGTCCCACAGTGCGTCCCACGGACACTCCGGCCGTCCGAAAATGGGCACTGTCGAAGCGGGAGGTTCCGTGGCCAGTGCATGCACCCTACAGCAATGGATACTTCTACATGCTTGGTTACGATCACGTGGCGGATCTGGCTTTGGCCATGTTCTACACCAAGCGCATTCCCATTGACGATGCGTGGTTGGGTCTGGTGATGCATAGGATTGGGCTTCAGTTCGAGTTGCCAGCTGGGATCGTGTACTCCTTGAAACATCAGGAAAATGTCACCGGCTATATCGCCTTGCCCCTCCAATCTCTCTGCAGCACATCTGTATGGTGAGAGGAAAATTTGTATTCACGACAGCCACCGTATTTTCTTCATTTGTCACTCATCCGTCACATGCATACCAGGGATTTTACTGGTAATTTGCCCTATCGTATGATAATTTATTGCGAATTGTCTGAACTTTCGTATACTATCTTGGCCTTCGTCCGAGTTAATTCCGCTTCTTTCGGACTTGCATATGCTTCATTTCATGAACGAAATCGGCTGAGCCGGTCGTGGCATCAGGAGTGTGATCACCAGTGGCGACCGTGTTGGTGGTGGTGGTGGTGGTGGTGGTGGTGGTGGTGGTGGTGGTGGTGGTGGTGGTTGTGGTGGTGGTGGTGGCGGCGGCGGTGGTGGTGGTGCATGTGGTTGTGCCCGTGATGGTCAGTGCAGTGAGGATTGGTGCAGGAATGACGATGGAAGCGTTTTTGAAAGCAGGAAATGGAGTTGTCGTTTTCTTGTTCCATTGGGTCCAAAGATATCCGAGGAGGCGGATCAGTACGCCCGTAGGTTCGTCCACATCGTGGGCAGGCTGGTGGGGGGGGGGGTTATGTTGGGTGCGCTTGAGACTTGTTGTTAGTTCTTATGTCCTTGGCAGCGCTGATTCGTTTGGCTTCGTAGACTGCTCCTTCAGGCTTCTCTGTTCTTCCCCTGTAATCCACTTCGTGGTCGATTTTGGTTTTGCGCGATACTGATGAGCTGGCCGCTGGTGCATGGCAACGTTTTATCCCGAATTTTGAGCAGGCTGATTTGAATACACTCTTGGACTATTGCATACCCGTCTCTGTCGCGGTGTTGAACGTGAAGTCGTCTGTGAAGTGCAGATGGTGGGCAGTAGTCGTGGAGAGAGTGAGCGCCTGGTCGCCGGTCCTGTGAACGATCCGGACTTCAGGGCTCCCATCATAATAGGCGTCTATAGTCATGACAGATCAGATGAGACTGAAGAGGATGGGAAGAAGGACTAGGTCCTGCTTTATTTCATTGGTCATTGCGGATGCTTCTGAAACGGCTCCATTGCACGTGACGCGCGCCATCAACCTCTCAACGGTCCGAGGCATCATGTACGGGAATCGCTCCGGACGGTCTAATTTCTGCTTGATTTTCCGGAGACCATCGCGATTCACTGTGTCTGATGCTTTCGTCAAAGCCCTCAAGGTGATGCCGATTTGGTTCCGCATTTCCTAACAATCCACCTATGATTACCGGGCGGGGAAGTTCATACCGATTGTTTCGCGATATCGTCTGAAGACACTCTGGTTTTCGGGTAGATGTCGGTGTCCCGACTAGCCGCTAAGACCACTGACAATGGTGTGGACGAAGATTTTCTCCGCGATGTTGAGCAACAGGATGCCTTTGCGGTCATCATAGAACTGCCCGTTCCATTTTCCTTTATATAGATGAACGACGTTCGCGTCACTGAACTCCTTGCTAACTTGTTCTTGACGCCACATCTTTCGGAGAAGCGTTATAAGTTTACTTATCGTGCGGGGCAGCCAGTCTTCTAAACTGCAGCCGAGATCGTGTAGGATTGCGGTGCATTCCTGATTAAGATTGTTTCTGGCGGTGTCTAGGGTGTCGACTGTTTCCCATGGGGATGTCGGTCGATGACGGCCACGGAGATCCTGGATGGGCGGTTGAGGACACTGCTGAAGTGCTTGGTCTAACACCTCAGAGCTTGCAACTTCCCCGTCGGGAGTGTCTTTCTGTCGGAGTTGAGAAGCGGTGCCGTTCTTGTGGACAGCAGACCGCCTTGATTGATGCGAAGACGATCTCTGTTTTATTGCCGTCAGCGTACTCTTGGATTTCCTTGACTTTGCAATCCACTGGGGCATCAGGCCTCTCGCACTGTACAAGGCGGTGACATCCGAACGACGTGCGCGATCGACAACAACCAAGACGGTGAAGTGGACAACGTTCCGCAGTTGATACCACCATGTCTATGCAGTTGTTTTTTGCGAGGTTACTGCTGGAGTTGCGAATATTCACATTGTAAAACTCAAAAGGCAATTTGGCGAGCATACGTCTGCTTTCGATTTATTATCTTCAGGCCTGTACATTTATATGGCTATTGAAGTAATGAACTAAAAGATACGGGCAAGTAGATAATTAAACTGTAGCTCGGGTTTGGATAGGGGAGGGGAGGGGAGGCGAGAGTGAAACACCAAAATTCCAGTCAGCGCCCGGGAGAAGGTGGGTCCCGGCGAAGGTAATTACATGCGGGTGGTTGGCTTGGCGGCTTTGAACCATGGTTACTGTGGGACCTGTACGAAGTTCTTGTGGGCGCATAGGACCGGTCGGCGTAGCCTGATTGCAGCCGCCTCTGCCGTAGCCAACAAGCGCTGCCCAAGCAGTTTTGGATATCCTGATGGGACCTTGTATATCACTCTGAAGGCCCCTCTGGCGTCTACACGGTGGTCTGTGTCTACCATATTGGAGCCTTATTTTTGAGATGGTGAGTCATTGATAACTGCAACCGTCGGCGTCGCAGATCGTTTTGGTCATCAGCACTTCCTGGAAGAGAACGTAGTCCAGCAGCTGCTAGCGTCGGGATGTTGGGTTTGCATCCAGGTTGCATCCTCCGTCGTTGAATAACAGAAGAATGTGCTGGGTTGGAGGAGACAGTGTTTCGCGTAGGTCTGCAGAAGGAGGAGTTCGTTGTCGTTGGAGCTCCCCCCCTTCCCCTCAGGCAGCCTGGTCTGTCTCGACGGGGTCTCTGAAGTCAGCAAAGACACAGGAGGAGGAGGAGGAGGAGGAGGAGGGGGAGGAGGACGAGGAGGAGGAGGCCGTTTTCGTTGGAGCCGCCGAGTCCATGAGGATCAGGAACTCTTCCCCATCCCCCTCCGCCCCCGAGTCAACGTGGTCTGTCCCGACGCGGGCATTGAAATCAGTGAGGACGGACAGCTTGTCCACATTCAGCACAGTCCCCAGGAAGGCATGCAGGACGTTGTAGAACTTCTTTCTCACCCGTTTGGCGTTGGTCATTGGGCGAGTGTAGCCGGTAACGACAGCGGAGGATTTGGCTTCCCGAAGAGGCTGATGTCCTGGGAAAGAACATGGAGCCATCCCACGATTTCGATACAGACGAAAAAGGCGACGCCAGCCTCACGTCGCTTTGGTAGACCACTCCAGAGGAAGGTGTATCCGTCACTCACCTACTCCTGTCAGTCTTGTTCGGAGAAGCAGGTCTAACTGAGGACAGTGATATCCAATTTGTTGCGTGTCATTTCTCGAGCGACTTATACCCCCCCCCACCCTTATTCTGGTCGGTTGTTCCGCGGATTTCGCAAAAGGTAATCAATATTACGGGCTGTCAGCATGAGCGGAGTCATTCTAGCAACCTGCGAGGTAGAATGGAGAGGATGGGAGCCGAGGACCGTTGTTTGTTTGGTTGTTCCGACTATGAGTAGTAGATATTTGCGAACCGCGGTCTGCGTGCAGATAACGTCTTCCCAGCATGTGTTAGCCTTGCTAATATTCTGGTGGTCTGTCGAACATGACTCAAGCAGCTCGCGGCTCACGCGGTTGTCACCTCTTGCGAGAATTTCGGCCTCGTTGAATTTGCATGTGTGGCCGGATCTCGTCGAAGGGACCGCAACTTGAGATGTACCGTCATTTCTCCGCACCGCTGCAGCATGTTCGGACATTCGCGATTGGAGTTGTCTTTCGGTTTCTCCGACGTAGTTGCTGTGTCCGCAACTGCACCAGATCCGATAAACGACTCCAGACGTTTTTTTGCCGTGGCAGCAGGCCCTTCGATTTTATTTTCAGACGCCTGCTGGTTGCCTCCGATCTGTGTGCAACTCCAACCCCGAGTGGTGCGAGAAGGCGGCCGACAGCTTCCGAGACCTTCTTGACCTACGGAAGCGCTCGTCAAAATTTGGTGTCCGTGCGGTTAGGCCTTTCGTCCCTTTTGCGTATGCACCGGTCGACGAAGTTGCGCGGGTAGCCATTGGCTCTGAATACCCGTCGGAGTTAGTGTAGCTCGGCAATTTTGTCTTCCGGCTCAATGCGGTGCGTTTTTACACGCCGATCGGTCGTTCTTACACAACTGCGTTTGTGGCTGATTGGGTGGTTACTGTTGAAGTTCAGTATTTGCATCGTATTTGTCGCTTTCCTTAACACTTTGGTTTTTATTTCACCACAATCTTTGCGGCATAGGAGGAAATCAAGGAAGGCCAGCTGGTTGTTCCCTTCCTCCTCCACCGTAAATTGTATGTCCGGGGAAGACCGCATTCAGATGTTCCTTGAATGTCAGCAGTTGATCCCGGTCGATAACGTCGAAGATATCATCCACATACGGGGTCCAGAACTTCGGTCTGTGGTGTTGGAAGACCAGCACCCTTCGATTTCATTATCTGACGCCTGATGGTTGCCTCCGGTCTGTGTGCAATTTTAAACCCAAGTAGCGAGAGAATGCGGCCGACAGCTTTCGAAAAGTTCTTTGACATACAGAAGGGCTCGCCAAAATTTGGGGTCCGTGCGGTTTAACCTTACAGGAGTCTTGGCTTGAGTCCTGCTTCACTGGCCTCCAGTCTGTCAACAAGCGCAACAAACTTCCTCATCCATATTCGATCCTGATACCCAGCCTACGCGGAGTAATGAACCACCAGGAGAAGGCATAAGTAAACACTGCTCTCAACGCCAGGGTCGGTGGGTCAGATGGTCCAGCTGTCATCACACCAATATCCAACACCCCTGATGAAATGGCAGCAAACAACTACGCGAATATCGGCCATTGAACAGTCATCACACCAAGTATACCGATCCGTGATGAAGGGGGGGGGACGTGAATCTTCATAGGTATGCGGTAGCATGGCGACTGCATGAACCACCCGTATCTGCTATTGCCTCTGATGATGGGTTCGAGCAGGAATCCGAAACGTCAGGCTTATAAAACTCTTGTCCCAGTGATTGTGTCTCCTTCTTCACGACTGCTTCTTAGGACTTGTCTCTTCGCCTCTACTGTCAATGTAGTGCCGTCTCTAAGTAGAATTACTGAGATGTCTCAGACTGCTGCCGAACTGTACTGTGGTTCACGCCTTGGCACAATGGGAGAGCGGCCTAAGATACCCTGGACGATCTATTGGATTATATATCGCACACTCCGCAGGGCTTTTTGAGAGAAGGGTATGGTTTGTGCCCGAGTCAGCGACAGTTTAATCTGAGGAGTATGTCTAACGGGAATGATGGTACTAGGTTTACACGGGTGGGATCTTCGGGCGCACGCAGGAGCAATTCGAAAAAATACAAGGCGAAGAAAAGAATAACTACATCCAAAACCTACTAATGCGCTTGGAATGTAAGCAGTAAGTAGATGCAACGATTCGAAAAACTACCCCAAAATGGTAGTCAAGGAAATTCGGGTGACTGAATAAACCGCCGCTAACTGAGTAACGGAAGCTCAGGTTATAAGGGAAATATCAACCAATGGTAATTGGTCGCAGGCGTTAATCGAAAGTGCAAACAACGCAGATTGAGAGCTAAACCGGGACGCTCGATAAGTGTCAGAAATTGACGAAAAGTGCAAAAAGAATAACAAGAAGGAAGTATAACAAGGTGAGCTAGATGGCAGTCGGAAGGAATAAAAAGAAAGGGAAAATCTGGCAATGTTAAGAGGCTTGACTTACGAACAGCTATATACGATGGGTGGGGTAACTCACGAAATGACAACCGAAATTCCGAAATGCATTTTCGTTTCGAAAAGATCAATAAAGTAGGGTTTTAACACTAATCATCATGCAGCTTACTTCTATAATAATTCAGGATGCCGGCCGCATAGAAAACTATACTCTGTAAAAAATGACTGCTTATGTAGCATGTATTTTTCTCATTGATTTTCGGTGTCCTCGAAAACTGAATTATATTTCATTAAAAACATGCATAAGATATTCATTTCCTTACAAATTCGGTAGAAAACGACGTCTTCATTAAATATTATTCTTTAAGGAAGGGTATAATTCGGTTTTAAAAAACTTTTCCAATTTCCGTATAATTTTGAACTCGACCTGGGGTTGCGCTTGCATTCAGGGTTTCAAAACTACAAGCCTATATTTCCCCTGTACGGATAACCATGCATTTCTCTACGTATTTAGGAGAGCCCTCATGGGGTTCATAAGAGTTAGCAATGGATTTGAGCCACATTGTTAACTTAACAAACCCTATTTGTAACCGCAGAGATATGACGATTTCTGAAGGGCCATTTTACGGTATTTAGAAGTTCCACAATTAGAAACTTTTTCAAAACCGAATTATATCCCTACTTCGTGTATAAAATTGGAAGCAGATATCATTTTCTACCGAATTAGTAATAAACGTCTGACTAACAAACAAGTTATTGGCATACTTTAAACTGTCACATAGGCTACGTTTGTGGAGGAGTCCCTTTCGATGCCTTTAAAACTTAAAGTATGAGGAAGAACTTCTCCCGGCTCCAAAAAGACAAGACATATCAAAAAATTCATTTAACTGCCTTCCAAGGTAGCTATAACACAACTCGACACTCGATATTTTAGGAAGCTCGATGATAGTATTATTTGCAGGAATCCGAAGCAGACAAGTATTTTTGGGAAAGTGTGGTGAACTATTTTTCCTCTCGGATCTGATTGTCAAAGCGCACGTAGAAGTGAAGTAAATGTTTGGAAGGCCTACTAGGAGAGACTGACCTGATCAAGAGAACAGAGGTCCATTTTGAACATGAAAAAAGATAAAGCGGGTAATTAAAATGTGAATGAGAGGAACGCTTGTCGGATATTGAGGGAACAAGGTCGGCAAAGCCCAAAAGTGTAAGGGAGGCGAAAGGTGACACAGTCAAAATCGCCGCATAAGAGTAGAAGTTGCTCTCAAGACAATAAAACAGTTTTTTTCGAAAGAAAGTCATATAGCCTAGTTGCGTCACCTTCACGGGTAGAGAGCGAGTATAGGTGTATTTAAAGACTATTGAACAAACAGACCTGGCATGTTACAGCAATAAAATTTATCGATTCATCAAAGTATGAAAACAGGAGCTTGTAGCTTCGCACCAGGGTTGTGTGGTGAAAATAATCAGCGTTTTTCTTTAATATTTGAACACTTCTTGATGGATTCGTGAAAGTGGTAGCAGGGAAGGATAACAAATACGGCCTATTAGCCACAAAATGCAACGGTTAGCATCGCGGACAGTCGTCTGTGAATCGGTACGGAATTCGCGCAAGCTTTTAGCCCTTTAAAATGTTGCCAACCCCCTGCACAGATGACTTCCTGATTGTAATTCAGGTAAATAAACCTACGGAAACGATCAGTATATTTCGAGTTAGACGTGCAGATACGAAGCCCCCCATCTGAATGGGGAGCATAATTATGTGCGGCTTAAATTAAAAAAGCCCACCGATTTCCGATCATTGCGTCCGAATCAACCTCGGGTCGTCCTAACCGTGTAACTCCAAGAGGTGGGTGAAGGAGGAGTTAGCGTGACGGGCGCTGCGTAAGTCGCTGTTCTGCGGCCTCCGCACCGTGGGACACACGGTGGGCATCGCCGTTGACAATCGCCGAACTGACAGGTCTATTTAAACACCGCACGCCATTCGGTTGCAGTCGACTGATGCTCGGGTTAGTCATCTCAACTCGGACATCCTCCAGCGACAAGTCATTTGCAGAAAATGGGGCTTCCACTTGAAGACATCAGATCACATCAGATTTATTAAGGAAATGTAGGCCTTTGAAGTCCCTTTTTTCGAGGGTGGTACGATCCTTGACAGTCCAGAGTCTCCAGGCCTGAGTGGCAAATTCCAACTGTGGACGCACAACCATCCCAAAGACCTTGCGAGAGCACTATGTTTCGATCTTCGCAAATGCCCGCTTGATGAAATATAAGCTGGACATTGCGGACTTCGCTGATTTCAAGCAGTGGAATGATGGCTTTAGTGAAGATGTTATCCAAACACCTCGATCCTTCTGAACCTCTACCACTGGCAGCGGTGTGTGATTTAGATAGTGCGTCCTCCGTTGCACAGAGCTTGGTCTGCCAATCCTCAGAATGTTGCATTTGGCAACGTTAAATGGGAGAAGCCAGTGGCCTGAACATTGTT